TTAGGGGTTAATTTTAACTTTAGCGCTCACAGCATGCTTTTTTCGTCGCGCTGTGATGACGTCAGGTACGTGGTTTCGTCGAGCGCGCTTTAGTCTACCGTGGTTTTGTGGTGGAACCACTTTTCGTTCCTACTGAAGCCAAAACGGCACATCGACAATGTGGCATTTCCTGCTGAACTATGCACACACCTTCAGGGTTGCGGAGACCCGTGCATTGCGAGCCAATGACGTTGCCTGGGAGTATCGGAGTCGGGATAAAATTTCCAGACATCCCAAAGTAGCCTGGATATTATATAGAAATTTATTGTCCTGTCTGGACTTTAGGACAATCCATTTCCTGCGCCTAGAATGTCTGAGCATAAAATGGGATAGAGTGTCGTAGCACTTTGGCGCCTAGCCCAAACTTTTACTGTTGTTTTCTTCCCCTCTATCGAAGTTGCTGCTGGGGCAGGAGATGGGGGAGAAACGAGTCTCTTTGTTCCCCATTTCACCCATTTACGTGTCTCCCCCCTTTTTTTTAACCGGGTAACAAAGTGCTCGTATGACACAGGTAGAGAACGCAGCAATGAGGAAATGCCGTTGAGTTCATGAAACCTGGCATTAGAGGCAAGGTTGATTTCCGAAGGGACTCGGGAGCCACAAAAGCCAAGGAAAATATGCCCAAGTGATAAATTTTCCTGATTGACAGCTTGGATGCCAGGCAGAAAAAGAAAAAAAAAACCTCAGCCATTTAGCAGAGATAAGCTTCCTTTGACCTGCTAGTTGTCTGTCTTAAGGGAGCATTATACAATGAAGGAATATTCAGTTGTGGGAACTTGGCTCAGAACTTCGTCTTCCTGGCTTTCTTACACTATATTACGGTTAACCATAAAAAGGGAATATTTCTAGCTCAGGGTTGAAATGAGGGGTCCTCGGTGATCTCTGAGCGGGGTTGTTTTCTTGCAGACGTTCCATGGCCAAACTAGAGAGCGTATTTTTCGGAGTACCAAGATGCACCAAGATTTTGAAGAGGCAAATTTAAAAAAAAAAGTTTTTGCACTCTGCAGACCTTCCAAAAACAGCCCCTTTTTCGCAAAAACGGGCCCGTTTTTTTTTGCCAAAAAAAGGGGCATACATAGTCTTTAGGAGGCTTGTAGAGTGCTCCGGGGTGTGTGTGTGTAAAAACGAGCAAAAATCAGCATGTTTTTTGCTAATTTTTACTCTTCCCAGCCCCCAAGAACAGTCTGGAAACCTCCTAAAGGCTATGCATGGCCATTTTTGCAAAGGGCGGGGGTTTCAGGAGGCCAAAAATGCTGTATTCAGTGTAGAAGACACATCCAGATTTTCACCCTATTTTTAGCAGTGTTCCAATATCTCAGGGGTTGCCACAAAGAAGAGGGAGTCAAACTATTCTCCAAGGCACCTGAGGGTAGAACAAGAAGCAATGGGTGG